CGCACCGGGTTATAAGCTGCACTGCCGGTTTTTGATAAAATTTTAGGATTTTCAGTGCGGCTTATGGTCGTGAAAATACGGTAATTAAAAATTGGATTGGGGGAGGGGTGTACATCAACAACACTATCAAATGTACAGTGATAGCAACTGGAATTTACTGTATTAGATTCCATTTTTATATAGGTTCTTATATTCTGCTCACAAGTGATAAATAATAAACCAAGAAACCGATAGTGGTAGGGACTTTGAAAACATAGAGATGTGGAAATAGCTTAATATTCTCAACCATTCTCTCCCCAGTTATGCTGCAAAAGATGCTGCTCAGGGTGACAAACATAAGAGACAGGTAAACCAACGAAACATTTTTACAAAGGTTAATACATTGCAGCGTTTTTCAAACTTGCCAAATTTAAGATATGTGGGCTTCAACTCCAAGAATTCCCAGGCCACACAAATTTAAGTTACCAAGTTTGAAAAACACTGCTGTACTCTTAACAACTTTTTGTTGACTGAAGACAAGATGCATGACAGTTGGACACATGAAAGTTGCTGTAGTGAATTTGGGATGTAGAAATGCAATACTTTTGCTACTGTCTTACCGGGGTTTCTCTAAATAGTTGTGTTCAAACTGTATCCATTCATTTTTACTGATGCAATAGATCCAGGCATCACCTGCAATGCAGAGAGACTTTTAACTGAGAAGGCATGTTTTCAGTGCTGCCCAAAGGAACTAGTTAGTACAGATTTAAGAGGCATTACCTGAGACTCTGGGCTCTCATGAGAAGACCTACCACTGCTAGCACAGGGCTCAAGGGCTACATATCGTATTTTTCGAAGTATAAGATGCACCTTTCCCCCCAAAAGAGGGTGAAAATCTGGGTGCGTCTTATACACTGAATACAGCATTTTTGGCCTCCCAAAACCCCACCCTCTTCACCAAAGTGGACGTGCAGAGGGTTTGGGAGGCCTGCAAAGTGCTTCTGGGGGCTGGGGAGGGTAAAAAAAAGCAAAAAACAGGCCATTTTTTTGCTCATTTTTGCTCCCTCCCAGCCCCCAGGCCTCTCATCTCTACATGTCCTGTTTTTCACAAAAAATGAGGCGTGCTTGGGAGGTCTGCAAAATGCAAAAACTTTTTTTAAAAAAATTACCTCTTCAAAATCTTGGTGCGTCTTATACTCTAAAAAATACAGTGTCTGAAGGCCAACTACAAGATGCCTTATATAACTATATTCCTCTCATTAATTTAATTTATTTCTTAAATAATTTGGAATCCTCCTCCCTGGCAAAGAAATTACCATGAAATCATCATCCTCTTTTAACAACCCCATAATCCCTTGCAGGGTGGAGTTTAGGCAACTGAATGGATCTGAGTGTTTACTGGCCGGAGGTCCTTCCTGTCGTCAATGCTGAGGTTTTTTTTAAAGGTGGATCTCTTTTCTCACAATCAGGAGACTGTGAGTTCAATCCTAGGTAGAGCCAGTTGTTTCTCTCTCTGGGCACACTGAGAATGTATTTGCTGAACAAAACTCTGCATTGGCGACAGGAAGGGCATCCGGCCATTAAAACACTCTGTTAGCTCCATTCAATTGCCCAGACTCCACCCCGCAAGGGATTATGGGATCGTTAAAAGAAGATGAATGATTTAAAGGGGCTTGTGAAATCATCAGATGGAAGCAAAAATAAATCCAAGGCACAGGATTAAGAATTCTTCTCCCAAAAACCCAATAATCTCAGAAATTGAAGATGGTATCTACGCTTCTAAAATTTACTTACTGAGTGGCTGCTTGTCAGTTGTGAAGCCACCAAAGAGGAAGAGATGATCTGAGGAAATGGTGGTTAAAGAATGCCAAGATCGTCCAACAGGGCAAATGCCTTGCACAACTCTATGGGGGCGGAGAAGAACACACCAAGTAAGAAAACCAAGGGCAATTCATAGATTGAGAGAGAGATCTGTCAAGATAAAGATGAGGAACATCTACATTGTGAAAATTCCTGAGACCCAAAGACTTTTCTTGACATAATTTGGTTTTTGAAGAAAATTCCGTATGCTGTGAGTCACCTAATACTAAGTGTGATGATGCAAATGGAGCCGTTTTCAAGAAAAAAATATAGAAAATATTTCCCTGGACAGGTCACAGCTGTCATCCCCCAAAAGTCTAATGGGAGAAATGGCCAAAACCTTAGAAATTACCTAGAAGGGCAGGATATAAATCTTGTAAAATGAAACAATCCATGTTGAAAGGAAGCACAATTAGGAAGGGGAAGAAAGACCTACTTACATCTCCTGCCATTCCCATGTTTCCAGATTAAGAAAATAAAGATCATTCATTCTAGATTCCTGAGAAGAGAGGGAGAGACGTGGGTTTAGTGCAGTTGGTCCTCCAAGGGGAAACTGTACCTCCATTCTGCATTCCTACTCACTCGATATCTGCCTCCAAAGACATATCCTCTGTTTCCAACTGTAGCACATGCATGGGCTGCTCGGGGTGATGGTGATTTACCCTGGGAGGAGAATTCCAGAAAGTATTATTCTGAAGGCAATTGATAAAAGGGTATATAACAGAATTCCCCAACCTTTCTGGCTTTGCGCAACAGCGGGGCGGAAGAGGGAAGGGATGGCTCTGTGCATGTGCAGCTGGCAAGCATGCACAGCTCCATTTCCACGAGTGACATGCACGCATGCACGCCTGTCATGCAAATGGAGCACACTTGCATGCGCTCATCCGCTGTTCATGCAAGTGGAGATGCGTGTGGGTGTGCGTTCGCCCACTGCCTCCATGGCCCGGTTGCAAACAGCTCACGGCCTAGTGGTGGGCCGCGGCCCAGAGGTTGGGAACCTCTGGAATATAACATTGTCCCAAATGTACTCTTTAGATCAGTTTTCACCCATCTGATGTTCTCAACATATATAGAACGAAAACGTCCACCACCCATACTAAAACGACCAATGGTGTTTCAATTTAACACAACTGTGGAGAGCACTAGATTAGGGAAGACACAGGTAGTCAGAAGGTAGTCCTCAATTTGTGGCCGATTGCTTACTGATCGTTCAAAATTAAGATGGACCTCCTTGGTATAAAATTGTGTCTGTCTCCCCTTTGTTTCTCAGGCCACTAACAGAAAAATATCTCTTCCATATATAACATAGTTTTATCTCTGCAGGAATCCTGAGAGATAAACCAGCAAACAGAGAAATTGTACCATTTTTATAATTAACAACACAACAAAAAACCAGCCAGGTAGGACAGGATTGAGAAAGCATTGCTGATATAAATCTACTAGAAGCAAAAGTAAGAGTTGAATTGGGACTGTTACTGTTAATTACCACACCATTGGAGCACTTTAAATATACACCAATAGGAAGATTGGTGCCCAGGTGATCCACATTGGGAGAATGGCAGGATCCTGGACATTTGGCAGATTAAAGCTGCCACAGAGAAATTTATTTGAGGGTTACCGTAGTCACAGGCTGGCTCCAAGTAAATGACTCCGTATCTAGGACATGTACGTGATTGTTCCACCCTCTGGGAAGACCTGAATTCTAGACCCAGAAATAAGACACAAAGTTATAGTGTTTTCTACAGCCAAACATTTCAACATTTCTAACTAAAGTAGCATATCTAGAATTATTTTTAAATCATTCCTTTCTTGACTTGTGAGTTGTCTTGCAGATATTCAAATTGGCAGAAAGGCCATCAAAAATGCTGCATGAGGGTACACTTGGTTCTTTTTGTAATTTTGTGGGGGTTTTAACACCTGGCCTAGTATGGAAGCAATTTGCTTTCAAAATCATAGATGTTTTTAATCATGGTTAGCTGCATCTAGAAGGAAGTGAGGGAGGAGCAGAGGTGGCATTCAGCTGTTTGGACTGGTTCGGGCAGACCAGTATTGCTGACGATCAGTTGGCCCCGCCCACCCACCACTGCCTATCCTGTCCTTTATTTCCTGCTTTCTAGCTCATCTCAATCATGCGTCACAGCTGATTTCCCCCCATTCGATGTTCTACTTACCATTGCTGACTTGGAAGGTAAGCAGCCGAGCTTCTAAATGCTCCATTTTCAGTGCTGCGTGCAAGCGCTTTAGGTGCACACGCGTGCAAAATGTGCACTCACTGAACTGGTTGTTAAACCAGCAGCATCCCACCACTGGGGAGGACATGCTGTCTCACTGCATATCAACATTTCTAGAAGGTTTAAGATAATCCCCCAAATGAAACAAAACTGAATTTGCTTCTACGAACAGAATTCTTGAATAACTGCACTTTCTTAGAGGACAAGTTTTTCTTATTTACTAAAATCAGGACTAGGAAGGCAGCAATGCAGGCAGCAATTTCTCAAAGTCTTTTGAATCCTTCATTTTAGCAGAGATTAAATTCTGAACAGTTCCTAGGCAAAATCCTTTGGGGGAATAAATTTGGTCTTCCTGTTACTGTCTTCCTGTTACTTAGAACCTTATGGGCCCCCTTTGAAAAGGAATCCCCTTTTCTCAAATCTATGCAAAATGTAACCAGCAAGCAAGCTGACTTAAAAACAAAGCCTGCATTTATTGTTGAAATATAATTCTTTCCAAACAATTTCATGAACACAAAGATGGTAAGAAGAAACACATCTTTGCCAAGTTGTGGCTGAATTCCAACTTTCTATTTTAAAAAATCCAGCTCAGAAAAATAAAATGAATTACCCAAAAAGAGGTTTCATCAAACTCAAAGGTTCCAATCTGCTCCACATCAGGGTAATAGCCATAGCCACCAAAGAATATAAGCCTGTTCAAAAAGATATAAGGGGAAAAAATCAACCACAACAATAAACTATCATGATAGATTACTGTCATTATAATATTTTATATTCAGTAGAGATTAGGGGAGGAAATCCAAATGAGTAACTATGAGATTAGATGATTTTATCTTTCCAAATTTGTTTGACAAGTGATCATATATAATTGTTAGTGAGTATGACTACTGGGGTTTATGGCAGTTGCAGTACAATACACCTAAAAGTATGGGAATGATGTTTCAAATTCAGTTTTTCAGATTTTTATTTTACATATTTCAAAAAGACGTTCAAGATTGCAATAGTCTTTTTAATCTTCATAAACTGCTTCTAACAGAGAAATTGGGCAGGACATAGTTACATGCTACCTTTTTGGATATCAAAAATTCTCAGCGGTTTAGATTAATTCTAGAAGTGAAATGAACCCTATGCAATATAGGCATTTGTGCTGATAGTTTCAATTTGTGCTGATAGTTTCAATTAATGTGTTGTTTTAGATGACTCTTTCCTATCAGTAACTCCAACATTTAAATTATTCTCAAATATTGGTAAGCTGTATTGGTTTTTAGATTTATGTTTACATTAGAATCTCTGTCACCATTTAGAAATTGTTACATACCAAACGATCCAAATACAACAATAAACTGAGGAAAATGAGCAAAGCATTTCCATTTTCATTCCAATGTTTAAACATAATATAAAAGTTCATTTTTCTGTTTTTTTTTTTTTAAAAAAAGTAGCAAAATATATCATACAATTGTTTCCAAGAAGAATAACAGATTTTTGGAATAGTTGATAGTTGCTTCCTTCTTTTTTTATAAAGTTTTTTATTTTTTCATTTTCATAACATGTATACTCTTACATAGCCAACATAATATTGTATTATTAAATGTTTACATCAATTCATCTTACCATCAACTCCCAAAAACAATTATTGGCTCTTCTGCTCTCCATATACCATATTTGTACCTTATCTATCACTTTCTTCTCCCTCTCTCCTCCCCCTCCCTACCTCCTCTCTTCCCTCTGTCATCCTTCCCTTCTCTACTTCCCCTTCCTTTCTCCTTCTCCTCTCTCCCCTTTTCACTCCTCATTTCTCTCCTCCCACCCCTTGCCCTCTCTCCTATCCCTCTCTTCTTCCCTTACCTCTCTCCTCTACTTCCCACTCTTCATTCCATTTACTTGGTGTATTTACTTGGTGCTTACTTATTTCTATAAACCCATACTCCGAGCTTGTCTTTTGATGATGGAGGAATACCCTGGCAGTCCACTCTGACCCACTGCAACACTCCGTCATTTGATCTGGAATTTAGCATGTAGAACTGCAAAGAAATAAAGAGACAGATCTTGGACTTCCAATTCCACGCCAAAAATGAAGTCTCATCTCTGTTGGATTATGTCAAATCAATTTAGAACCCCTAATTCTCAAAGCCCCCAAACTCAACAGACATGACGAATTTATTACTTAATTTGTAGCAATAAACTTCATTTCATACTGAGGCCGTTAACTTCTGCATCAAACCTTCCTTCCCAAAATCCAATCCAGCTGGCAAAAGAAGTAGAAGTCTGTGAATCAATTTCCCAAATATGGACAAAGGACAAGTAAGTTTACAAGAAGCTAAACATGAAGAGGAGCATTTCCTCTGACAAAAACAACAGAAAAAAGGGTTATGGATAGAAGGAGATTAGTGAAAAATGGGAACATCTTCACTTAGGTTTGGGGAATATATTTTGGGGAGACAGGAAATAGAAAATGACAGGCAGCTGAAACGTTAGAGATGTGCAATCCATCTTAAAAACTGTAATAACATTTGGAAAGAGTTTTATTACTACTTAACTACTGGAACAGATTTTATTATTATGAAACTTGTTTGAGGACAAACACGTGATAACTCTCACCAAGAAAGGTAGAGCTTAAACTTTAATAAGTTCTCAAAATATGTAGAAGAAAATCTTTGTATGAAAAATAACCTTGATTTCATTAGACTACTATACAGTCTGAATTGCATCTGATAGATCAGATGAAAAACTTTTAACAATTTAACTTGAAGAAAGAAATGCAAAATACAAATAAATAAATAAATAAATATACAATACAACTTTCTCTAAAGATCCCCAAAGTCCATTTGATCAGAACTCTTTCTGGGTTTACATTTATTTATTTATCTAATATTTCCATCATGCTATTCCCTTTCAGGTATGGCATATAGTAACATTAGTAACATTATGCAAACCACAGAAAGGAAGTAAGAAATAGAACAAATAAATTAAATGCATGACTATTACTATCTTTATACAACACCCTTGCTTCAACAACATCTATATACCACTTAGTTCTTTATTCTTTTAATTTCTCGTCTCTCTTTTTAGAGATCACCATTCAGCTACAACATCCTTAATTTTTCCTTTGCTATCAACCCTTTGTCTCTTCTTATATCTATGTGTTCTGTGTTTCAGTCCTAACTCATTCTCTCCATGGGGCCAAACCAACTCAATGTACACCTTCCTAGTGGTCATTCCCAATGCCCATCCATTCTTAACATCGTATCTTCTTGTTTTATTACACTTATTTATTTGTATGCTGCCTTTATTATTTTACAAATAATTCAAGGCAGCAAAAATATCCAACACATCTTTTTTCTCCTATTTCCCCCACAACAACAACCCCGTGAGGTAGGTTGTACTGAGAGAAAGTGACTGACCCAAAGACCCCCAGCTGGCTTTCATGGCTAAGGTGGGACTTGAATTATGGTTTCCTGCTTTTTAGCCTGATACCTTAACCTCTATACCAAACTGGCTTTCTACATGCTCACTGAATTCAGCTCATTTTTATGCTTCTCCTGAGATATTTATTTTTCTCTTCCACATAACAATATGGACACCAGCACACTCTTATTCCCAGCCATTTTTGCTTCTTTCAATGAAGATTTATTGTCACAGTGGACCACAAAATTCCCCGCTCCTTGGGTCAGGTAAAGATCCTGGTCATTATTTCTAAAACTTTTATGGCTGGGGTATGCAGTATCTTGAGACTATCTACTCCAGGTGCAATCTGCCCACCTAATACATACTAGTGAGAGTGACCTTGTGGGCTCCCACCCTCAAGGGAGTGGAGATCAGGACGGCTTTCTTGGTGGCAAAACCCTGACTCAGGAGTAACTTGCTTCTTACAGAGATCAAGATAGCTGCCACCCTATTAATGTTCAGAGAGGCAGTGAGAATTAGGCTCTTTGGAATGGAAAACTTTTAACTATGAAGACAGCAGGACAAGAATTTCCAATGCTATTATGATAGGTTTATAATTGATTGTTGTGTCTTTATGACCATAAATCCCTAGAGTCCCTGGGGTAAGCAGCATACCATTAATCTATGTATTTGATTTCTATGGTTATCCACCTTGCAACACTAGCTGTATAACACAGATATAATGAAATCACAGAGGTACTTACAATGTACAGTGGTACCTCAGTACTCATTGTTAATTGGTTCCGGGACATGCAATAAGTACCAAAAGCAATGAGGCCCAAACAAATGTTTCCCATAAGGAATACTGTAGTGAGTCACAAGGCAGCCGACACTGACAAGTCCTAGCTTGTGCGTTGAGTACTAAAGAAATGAGCCCCGAGTACCGGGACAAAATTTTCACCTCAAAATGTATTGAGTACCAAATTCAATACATTTCAAAGCAATTGAGTATCAAGACACCATCAGGATGTATTCATAATAGACAAAAAAACTATCAGCCACCCAAAAATGGGGCAATGAATTCTCTTTCAATTTTCATATGGTTCTTTAACACATTCTAAACACTTGATAAGAGATTTGCCATTTGGGGCAAAATTGCAGGGATTTTTTGGGGGGAAATTGGAAAGAAAAATAGAAAATTCACAGATGGATCAGAGAGTTTGAGACCTTCCCAGTCACTGACCTTATTTGTGTTGCCACAATCATGATGCCCTCCGAACAGATAAAAAACCCTGTCCATGCAGACAGCACAGCTTCCTGACATAGATGGAGGCACATCTCCCGTGGTTCTGTGTTTTGTCCTTAGATGGAAGAGGCAAAAAAATAATAATAATGAGCTTGAATCAGACAACTTTTTATCTTCAATGTTTAGCTGTCCTTCACAACATTGGGAATCAATTTGATACATTGCTTATTTAGCACATACTGATTAGAAGCTAATCTGGCCCAGCAGCACCTGCCTTCCCCAAATACAGGGCTTTTTGTCCCAGCTTATCTTTTTGCGATAGGTGCTTCGGTAACAATATTATTTTTCAGGATGCCATATGAATGGAAATCACATCTTTTAAAATTCAAATGTAATTAGTATAGAACAAACACAGCATAAGCAAAATATGATTAGATTGGTTTTAAACAGAATTAAAACATTTGGGGCGGGGAAATGTATGTCTGATATTAAAGGAAATAAAGCTAGGTTCCAAGCAAACTCTTTGGGGGAGTGAATTCTACAATTATGACACTATAAAAATGCTCTTTGCCACAGACCACTTTATATAGCAAGTATACCTGAGTAGGAAAAGTAGACTGAAGGAGTCCTTGGGTGCTTTGGTATCAAGCTACAAAGGACTTTAAACAAATCCATCAGGCAATAACCTTATGAGAACTGAATCTGCCCATCCGGTCTCTTCACCGAGCAAGGATCTAGTGAATCTGCAAACTCTGGCTGATATGGCAGCCTTTCTCTGGTAAGATCCCTGCAGGATGGAATACTCTCTCTATGCCTGTGCCCCCCCCCTCAAGGAATTTGAAAGCAAGCCCGTCATAAAATCTTTTTTTACGAAGCATTAATGTTGATAAGCAATGGAAGGAGATACAAGTAGTCCTCAATTTACAACAGCATTTACTGATTGTTTAAAGTTACATCAGCCCTGAAAAGAAGTGACTCATGACCATTTTTCACACTTGTGACCACTTCAACATCCCCGTGGTCACGTGATCAAAATTCAGATGCTTGGCAACTGACTCATGTTTATGACAATTACAGTGCCTTGGGGTCATGTGATCAGCTACTGCAACCTTCTGACAAGCAAAGTCAGTGGGGAAGCCAGATTCACTCAACAACTGTCTTACAAAATTGACAACTGCAGTGATTCATGCAACAACGGTGGCAAGAAAGGTTGTAAAATGGGGCAAAATTCACTTAACAAATGCTTCGCTTAGCAATAGAAATTTTGAGCTTAATTTGGTCCTAAGTCGAGGACTACCTGTAATGTATTTTTAAATTAAAGATTTTATCTATATAATTGAATTGAAATAATTTTGAAAGAAAGAAAAAAAGCTGTTGTTATATTGTTTCAAGTAGGTTTCCAGCAGCAAAGCTTCTCTTTTTCCCTGGCCTCTGCTGCTGATATGGCATCCTTTCTCATGCCCATGTTTTGCAACTGAATCCCTCCAGTTCCTACCCAGAACTAGGGTAGAAAGGCAACTGTCATGAGTCTTGTGAAACGTTTCTCTGACTCCTTCTAAAAATCAGTAATTGCATAACAATAACTGTCTACACAATTCCATCCTCTGACCGAAGAAGTGAAGGGTACCCATGGAAGTCATTCAAGTGCCTTACCATCGTTCAGTTTCCATGTTATAGATCCAGATTTCATCTCTTGGCAGATAGAAGTCATAAATGCCCCTCACTTGAGCATTCTGAATCAGGAAGGAAGAAAGAAGACACTGCAGCTTAATAAAATATAGCAACGGAGAAGCATCCCAAACTTTTTATGCTAGTTACAGCACATAGCTTACTATCCCTTCCCCCAAAATATATATTGAGAAGCATATCATTTCTGGGCTATAGGAAATGCCAGTCCTGTTCCCTCAAATCATTTATACCTGGCTTTTTATTTTCATCTCAACCTATCAAAATATAGCTTACAATTTTTAACTTACCATTTTTAGCAAGACAAAATGTTGGGAATGCTTATCAAATGCAAACACACAAAATGGTGGGATAACTCTTATTTTAGACGACTGAAGCAGTTTAAAATTAAGATTAAAAAAATAAATACATTTGAAATGTATTTGTGTATCAGCATGCAACAGGGATTGCACCAATCTGCATATTACCAAAATCCACCTTGGATGTCTTGCACCTTTTATCAATGAAGCATAATCACACTGTCCTCCTGGACACCACAGCATGACTCCACCTCCATTTTTGTCTAATGTTGCATTTCATAAGAAAGCTAGAGTTCTTTTTTTATCCCTCACCTTATATCCGCCCCAAACAAACATGCATTTTCCATCAGTAACAGCCACATGACCACTCCGTTCAGGTGGGCTGCCCATGTTCAGCTGTTCCAAATTTTCCTCTGATTCAGGCAGATCTTCCTCTGCTGGCAATTCTTCATTGTCATCTGCCATACTGATAATAGGATATTATCCTTCAAAAACAGACAGAAAGGAGAAATGGATTGTGGTAATTTCAAATATGCTTAACCAAAAGGTAGCAGAAAAAAACCTACTCAAAGCTATTTCCTCCATCTGTACTAAGATATGACACTGTAAATTGAAAAATGTTTTCAGGAGTCCCAGAAAATTAACTTTTACCTGCTTTTCTTGTACGTAATAACTTTCGAATTTCCTAGGGTTGGTAGAGATTGCTTATCTTGAGAAACCAGATTTTTTTTTACATCAGCAGGACAGAAGCCTGCTATAGTTTAGTCTAAAGGCAGTACTTGCTTAATAACCATTCTTTTAGTGATTATTGAAAGTTATGATAGCACTGAAAAAAGTTACTTATGACAGTCATAGCATCCCCACAATCATAAGATTGTGATTTGGGTGCTTGGCAACATCACACATTTACAACCATAACAGCAACCTATGATCGCCATTTGTGACCCAGCCAGTTTCTGACAAGCAAAGTCAATGGGGAAGTTAGCAGGAGGTTGCAATGTGGTCATGCGATGTATCTATCGCTTAATGACTAAGGTAAAAAGGTTACAAGACAGGGTGCAGTCATGTAATGTCTCTTTTAACTTGCACAGCTAAACAATGAATTTTCCAGTTCTTATTGTGATCATGAGTCAGGGACTACCTGTATGCACTTTAGAACTGCATTTACTTTTCCAACTTTGCAGACTGCAAAGGCACTGTGCAAGAACACCACGACAGTTTTGAATTAGACTGATTTTTAAAAGACTTGTCTTTTAAGTGCAGCACCAGATTGAACATATTACAATAGTCTTGATACTACAACCAGGCCTCAATCCTGACTGAAAGGGGGCCAAATAATCCAATTCTTCCCGGATGGTCTGGAACTATAAGCCAATTATTTTCTCAACAACCTTCATTAGGGATGGAATGTTGGCAATTAGGCAAAAATTGTCTCAATCCTTTGGGTCCTGGGGTAATCTCCTCAACTTGTTATGTTTGTTCCATGTAAAGATAAAATATGTCTCAAAACAATGAAGATTATGAAAAGAAAAAAAAAAAGTTCAGATAAATTTTCATGCATGACCAAGATATACAATCCCAAGAGAATCCACATTCAGAATTCTTTTAACTTCCAATAGGGAATCTTTATCAAAACTGAATTAACACAAAGTCACCCACGCATCTCTTCTGCATCCTAATAATAATAATAATAATAATAATAATAATAATAATAATAATAATAATAATAATAATAATAATAATAATAATAATAATAATAATAATGCTTAGAGACAACTGGCATTAGCAAAAATATTACATCCTTTACTGAAAAGGCGATGAAACAATGGAGAACTGAGTTGGCAGTAGGGAATGAGATCTACAGAATGGTTAATATCAAGCGAGGAATTTTCCAGGGTGATTCACTTTCACCTCTTCTCTTCATCATCGCAATGATCCCACTATCAGTAATCTTAAAAAAAAAGAAGTTAGGCTACCAAACAGCCTAATAGCAGGGTCGCTGAGAAGGAACATGAAAAAATCGCAAGATACCAGGACTTAAAAATCGAAATTCAACGATTATGGCACAAACCAGCAGTGATAATTCCAGTGGTAATTGGCACACTAGGTGCTATACCAAAAGCACTGGAATTACATTTTAAACAGTTAAAAATTGACAAAATCACCATCAGTCAAATGCAAAAAGCCGCACTGCTTGGATCTGCACGCATATTACGAAAATACGTTATGACGTCCTAGGCCCCTGGGTGGGGCCCGACTAGTAACCAATGCCAAATCCGGCGAAACAACTGGCCGCTGTGATACAATTGTATAATAATAATCTTTTAATTATGCTGAAATTCTTATTCAGGACTTCTCTTCTAAACCACAGTGGGCATCATCAGGAAGAAAGCAGAAACAATGAGAAAATACAGAATACGATTAATCAGAGATGCTCTAAAAACCTTCATCTGCTTACAATCGAGGCTGTCACCAATGCTTTCAATAGAAAAATCAACCTTGGGCCAGAAAAAGATGGAAAACAGGTGATGGGGAAAGGAAAAGCTGGTTTTCAACTTTTGTTTTTCTAGTCATGAAAGAAACCTTGAGTTTCCCACCGTCGTCAGCCTGAAGACTGGAAGGTTGTGCGTCGATGAAACAAAAGCACAGCCTAAGCAGCCATGAAATCTTTGATGTTGACATGAGCTTAAAAACAGCCTCTTCTATGGTGTATTTTCATGGATCCCCTCCCTCACCTTTTCTCCCTAAACCCAAAATGAAGGAACAACCGTTACGTTTGCCTTTATGGGGTTCATGTTTTAGGGTCACGTTGGGCTCGTTCTTAAAATGGGGACCGTTCCCAAAGGCGCCCCTCTTCCTCCCTGCTCTGACTAGTATCTCCACCCCCTCGTTCTTCTGCAGAGGGTGCTTTAAAGAGCGGGACGCCGTTAAACGTCAACCGCTTTATCAGCTCACTGATTTCACGACGGCCCCCACCCCATTTCCCTCCCCTCAATTTAAGCTGAAGTGGAGGAAGAATCCCTTCCCCAGTCCTCCGCCTTACTGTATGCCGGGTCTTTCAGACTGTCAACATTCGCCTACGCAGAGCAGATATCCGCCACACCCATTGTCAGAAGCCCCGCCCCTCTGGTGAGAGGTCGCCTTCCGCTTTTCCTCCCTCTTCAGGCCGGGCGTGGAATTGCTTCCCTGGAGGTGTTCCCGTGAGATGTTTATCCATGGTTTTAGACAAGCCGGATTTCTGATTTCTGTGACAGCACGGTGGTGTAAACGGGAATCGGCGTCTCACGTTAATCCCAAAAGCTAGCTTCTAAGATCTTTCGCGGGATTTGGCGAATTAATGGGGCGTCCCCAAAATTAGGTATTAGTTCTGGGCTGGCGGCATTCTGGGCTGGCGGCAGATTATTATAGTAGTAGTGTAAGTGAATGGATTGTTAATTTGTTTTATTGTTACTTCTGCCTTGTGGTCCAAAATCACTTTGCCAGCTTGTGTTATTAGATACCATGCACTGCAGAGCCTTTTGCTTTTCAACATCAAACTGTTTATTAGTGTGAGTGAATCCGGCTGCAGAGCTGAAATGCATAAAATACGAACTACTGTATACACTTGGCTGAAAATTATTCTGTGAACTGCGGAGGTTGTCAATCGTACAAAACAAGATCATTGTAATAATTTTAATTTTTGGGGCAATCTCAAGCTACATTGCAGGAAATGCATATTAGCTGTGGTCAAATTTATACAACACACACATCTATGACTTCTTTAACATCTAGCCATAAAAATTTGAGAGTACTGATATTGCTAAAAGTCATATTGGAATTATTGGAAAGCAGAATTTAGTCCATCCCAATTGGGGAAATTTAGGAGTTACAATAGGTCTGGTTCTGGTCTTGGCTAATGTAAACAAAAACAAAGGAGTGGCTCTGGTTAATATTTGCATGCAAAAGCACAAGCAACTCCTTAGATTAGTAAACTGAAAAAACCATTCAGACACAATGCAAACTGTTTTATCCATGCTAAGAAAAGTTCATGTATGTGACTGCGACATCAGAAATAATTAAGCTGAATTTTCTTGATTTGCATTAGTTTTAAGATGCTTCCCTCAAAATGGTGAGAAATTATACCAATAATTTATCAATGATGCTCAGAGGCAATAAGTTAAGAGTGAACCAGAGAATGCACTTTTGCCCACTTTGCTGTATTCAGTGACATTGCACTTGAGGTCCTTATCCGCACCAGCAATAGGGTCAGTCCGACTGAAGGGGGAAAATGAAACATGAAATAAAGTGCTGCAATTGAGTGCTCCTATTCAGAGGCTTGCTCTTTTTTAGGCACTTTTCAATTCTCCCTTCAAATTTTCTTAAATGACTGTTCTTGGGATTCCATCTTTCCTTTTCAACATGCTTTTTTGCAGGGTCCTTCAAGCTTTTCCTAGTATTTACAGAAAGAAATAAGGACAATATAACGTCTCTGCACAGTATTCAATGCCAATCTTTTAAAATTGATTTTAGCTTGAAAGAACATTGTTTAACATTTTCTACTTTGATACTCTTTTCAATACCTACTTATCTATTGAATCTATTTAAAATCAAAATCATCAAAACAAACCTGAAATTAGCAAATACTGGGTCATCCCTGTTTATTTTTATCTCAGGAAAAAATTCACCTCAATAATTTTTAGTATAGCTTTTAGACATATTCTTGTATTTAAAGAAACCCTTTTATTACCAGATGAACATTTTTAGTAATTGTCATTTAGCCAGATATTATAATTCAACCATTTGGTAAGCTACCCAGAGAAGGAAACCTTACATTCCTCTTTTAATGTCTAAAATATTTCTGCACTAACTATAAGGCAGCAAATATCATTTATATGTTGCCTGTTGATATTCTATTATCAAAAATCTCCTTAAAGGGATATATGACATTGTGATATAAAGAGTATTTTATATGCCATAATCTACTGAAATGTTTTAGCTTTATATGGGCTTAATTATTACTACGATTAAAGTTTAGGAGTAGAACTATTTTTAAGGCTTTGTTCAAAATGGCACAATGCAAGTGACTAAAGGATGTTCAGTAAATAACATTCAGACTCTACAAGTATTAATCACAAAACTCAAAAGGAATAGAAAACAGTATTTTATAAACACTTTTTACAATAAATTAAGGACATATTTTCAACTGTTAAATACAAAGAAAATACAATCAACAGAAAAGGCAACTTTGTCAAAACGTTGTTGTGAAAGGATTTTGAGTTTGTACAATTTTTTAACACAATTCAACTTTGTTTTTAAAAAAATATCCTTTTCAAATATCAGCACAAGGTAAATTACCTAATATGGCCAAACACCATTTTCATTGCTTAGAACCCCATTATCTTTAATAACAATAATTGGATCAAATTGCTCTTCAATCCAAGAATATTTTTAATCTTCAGCGCCTTGAACTGGAGCTGTTATGACACTGATAACCTTTGAAAGTTTTCTTGTGCATCCAGAAATTTAGAATTTAGTTCAAACAATTTACCAATAATAGTCAGTGTTGTTTGTTTTAAAATGATAATGGAACTGTTGTTTAAAGGACATTAATCTACTCGTGGTCTTCTGCTTTGGCTTTTTTTTTCTGACGATGATTAACAGCAACCCAAAAAGTTATCTTATCCATAACTTCTTCCAGAAGTCTAGATGGCAACCACGGTATTTGTTTCTCCAAGAGGACAGCATTTTTACCAATACAATCAAGACTCGATCTAAAAGTAACAGTATGAAGGTTATCAAGTTTTGCTTTTTATAAATTACATAGTAGTAAAGTAATTAAAACATCTAACTAACGCAATATGTACTCCCACAGCAATGTTCCCAATCTTAATACCTCAGCTCTTTCATTAGACAACTATTACTGAAAATAATCTATTCTTTATTAGGATTTTACTGAAACATCATACTATCTGTGATTTGCTTGCATCACAGATATGGATTTCTCTTAAACAGCTGCCATATAAGAATGACACAAGAGAGTTTATATTAAAAATGCAAAATGTATCAAAATTTCTATAAGAAAAGTGAAACATCTTCAAAGAAAAACCAGAAAGACCAGATGCCTCTTGAAAAAGCATCTGTGGGTGTTACATATTTAGGTTTCCACATGCCACAGGTCCTTTAAATGGCTCTGCACACTGGAGTTGTTGTATCAGGATAATTATTCCTGTAATAGTTGTTATTAATATTTGCTGAAGAATACTATTCTGGAGGCGTTACAATATTATTAGCTATCGGTTTTTTTCAACTCACCTGAGTAGCGAATATGGTTGCGTTTGAAAAATCAATAAATCACTGCAATGTCCCTAAGAAAGAGAAAAACAATGATTTCAAATATATGCAGTTCTCTTTCCTACAAAAGTATAGAAAGCAATATACACAATAAAAAAGTATCAAAGCTGCTTTAAACCAAAAAAATGCAGCAAATCAAGACAAGCATGGTGGTGTGGCTTCTGGAATTCTTTTGAAATTCTTAGTAGTAGACCTATGTAGCCTGTGTCATGTGACCAAGTAAAAGAAGGATTAAAAGTGGAGCAGCCTGACACATTTCAAACTGTTGCAAAACTGATTCTCCCTTAGAAATGTGCTGGGGAATGTTTTTCTGATTGTTTTTCCCCCACCACAGCATCCAGCTGGAATTAATCGTTTTTTGTTGTTGTTGTTACTGGCTCCTGCCACATCAATTCAGATCCTGTTTTGTTCACTTTTTGTAGAGTTATCCTACTGATGGAAACAAATATATGCTGAGTCCCAAATCCTAGGGTTTCCCCCCAGAGAATTCAATTGTTTTTTCACCTTCATCCAGCCCAAAATATATTGTTCCCATTGCTCCAGTGTTAAAAAGTAACAAGTATCAAGTTTTACTCCCAATCTTTGAAGCTAGGGAGGGGATGTTAAAACAAAGTGGATTCTTGCTCTGGCTTATTCAGGGCAGAAAAAGTGATTGAGTGCTAGATCATCCCTTAAGGCATTGATGGAAGCCAGACTATACAAAAATAAAGGTGGGATATTAACACCTAAAGCAAACTATTTTCTGGGTTTTCCAATGCCACTATCATTAGGAAGAAACAAAACTGATTCCAAATTATCTTCTCTCCTTATTCTGCCATAAAAATGCAGAATGTGCGTTTTCTTTAAAATGTGTAAAAACAATTAGGTATTTTAAGGTACTTACCCTATCCAGGAAATGCAAATCATCTTTACTTCCTCCAAAGACTAATACTTCACCTTCTTTGCCAGCACAGGCTGTATGCCATAACCTAGAATGTATTATACTTAGAATGAATGCTCAAATAAATGATTTTTGAGAAGCATTTACTTACATGTTCTGAGGTGCATATTATATCGACATTACAGGACCTTTTAATTAATCTCCAACATATAATACCTATATTGTCTTGGAGTGATTATTCAATTCTTTAGAATATTTTGAATGTTAGTATTGAACGAAGAAATTTCAATCTTACTGATGTTTTCCTGTTTACTATTAGCGGATTTAATTTCTTAGCAAGAACAGGAAGAATTTTAAAAAATAGTAATGCATTTGATCCAATCTTAAAAATTGTTTGCACTGATGAGACAGGTTTAAATATCAAAACAGCTTGTTCTGTCTCTATAAAATAGATTACATAATACTTTATCTAAGTACAATTTAAACTTGTCTTATACTAATCATGAAAATATGTAAAAAATCTTTTGATATTCATAAGCCATAATATCCTGAAATATGTTGGCATGAATACCAAAGTATGAGTATTCAAGATGGCATCACTTAGAAACTCAACTATCTGAAAGATTTTATTTTTCCAGTCATTGCATTAATTTAAGGCAACTCTAGTCATTTTTCATTAGAATTTGTATTTCTTTTTACAAGGCATGAAAGCTGCGAAAATGCTGCTGGATTAGGATCATCTCCTTTCTTTAGTATAATCTTCTTTAACATTAATTGTCTGCCTGCATTAACTGGAAAAATAAATCATATGGACCAACATTGTTTTCTTTCACTATATAGGCTGGCAGTGGGTTGAGTAGAAAGGAAATAGGTGTGTTAATAACACATTGGAAGCGTGATGCTTCTTTCTTTTTTTAAAATCAAGGAAACAGGCAAGAACAGAGATGAGATCTATTTTACTAAAAAGACATGCAGTTTCCTACGAGTATTACCTGAGCTGTAATAGTTCCATCTTTTTGCTTCACTATGAACCATGAACATGATTGGGAACCAAAGTAAATAGGGCATTCTTTCTCCCATTCTTCCTTTGCATCCTACAAAAGTTGGGTGTTATTTTGCACACACTAGTGCAAAGTAAACAAACTGATGTGTGACATTGCTTTTGGGTCCCCCGACATGTGCCCCCCACTGTTTGGATATGTTAAACTGCCAGAATTATAGGAGTTTGGTGGCATACAAATTTGCATTATAAATAAATAGACACAGATATAGACTGTTGAGAATGCCACTCATTTGTATAGGATCACTACAATAACTGTGTTAGGACAGCTTCACTGTGTATGAAGATGAAGTCATTTTCTGGAAATTAAATTAACAGATGAAACTCACTGGGTAATAGGATTGTGAGATTAGTTCCCTTTTATTTATATAGAAAGTACCATATGTGCAAGATTACTGTAAAACACCTTACTTCATTTATTTCAGCAATTATATACCATTCTCCTTACACTAAACTGTATCCCACCTGTTCTCTTCCTCATACCTGTTGATAGCTCTGCCTCTGTCTTATCTGCATTAGGAAAACTCTGGCCTGGACTCGATCATCGCAGAACACTGGAATGCCTTTCCTGCCTTCACTCTGGGCCTTGACTCCTAGCTTGAAACCTGAGGCTTTTTCTATTGACTGACAGAGTTTATGTCCTCTCACAGCTGCTCTAACTTAGCACCTAGATATTCTAATAAAGCATGTTATTTGCATTATTAATCAACTAAATTAACATCATCTGTTTAAACAAAACCTTGTCAAAAACTACAGTATCTGTTGTAATTCATATATACCACATTATAACTGAATTGTACACATAGCTAACAGGGCTGGCATCTAAACCAGAAAATGGAGATTCGTAGTACATAATAAGGTACATAAGGTAAAGAATTACTCCTCAAAAGTCAGATGTTGTAAATCTGATCTTCAGCATTCTTATTTGAATAGCAGGATAAGGGAGCAATATTTATCAGCTTGTTTGTTGTAATGTCAATGGATAAGTATAGATTAATACTATAAAGTTTTTGTATACTGGTTTCCCTTTCCCCAATAAAAATAATATTTTGGTGAATTGTACTGTTACATTCAATTATCTCTCTTCATAATCTTCATATTATCAGAGCAAAAAATACAAATGTCAATATAATGAATATAATTATCTAAAATCTACAAAATATAAAAGCATTGTAAAATAACAGAATTCAAACTATATCTAACAATCTTATTATAAAATGAAAATTTTTCAGAGGTCAAAAGGACAAGGTCTCTTATTTATTTGCTGTCTTCCCTGCCAGCTTCCAGTACCAACAACCAAGGCCAATGAAGAAGCTGCCAGGAAGTCACAAGTCTGGATCACTTGAAGCCCTCACTTAGTGACCTGCATTGTTCTTGCTTAATGTCAACAAATGGAACTGCCAGAAGTGGTGCTAAGCAGTGCAAACTTTTTGACATAGGACCACATTGCTTAAAAATAGATTATTCAGTCCCAATTACCACTACTACCTTAGGACTACCTGTAGTTATTTTTACTCTTATGAGTGACTAGTGACTATGGACATACAGCTATAACATGGGTGTATGATCTTACTTCTGTACTTATGTGTTTCCTTCTCATACACATATTTTTGAAAAGATAAGGGGGCTTTCCTAACTTCAGGTACTATGAAGCAATATTTGTAGAAATTCTTGTGCCCCTTTCCTCAAATAAATGCACTAGGAAGGAAGCCTGAAAACTAAATAAGTATCCTTATAATTTATGGGTTTTTTCCTGATAATGGCAGACTTTTGCCCACTAGGATAGAGAAGTGCGCGTAAAGGACCATTAGTTCCTGACCTCTACAGGTTGAGTAAAGCAGCTTTTTCCTGCTTTCAGAGAAGCATCAATCCAGTTTAAAAAACAACACAATTTTATGGACGCCTGCACTGGCTTCAACGGACCCCAGCTTGAAGCTATGTTAGGGTCACATTATTATGCATGGAGAAAAGAGCATGGGACATGTTTGAGTGAAGATACTGCAGGTGAAACTATGATATGAGACTTTTTTACACTATCAAAACTAAAATTATTTTTAACAACTTTACTGACAACTATAGGAAGTATTTAAGCAGTGAAATCTGGTAAAATGATAAAATTAGAATATGTACTATGTAATTTAAGTCATGTTTTTAAGTTAATGAGTTGAATCATGTGAATTATAAATAAATTTCAATTGTTACACAGCTTTCCTGTTTTTTATTTCCATTACAATATCATGCAAAATGACTTCTGAGGGCTATAGGACTCTTTGGAACAGTAATAGATATGACAAGCATCCTGTGACTGGGAAAATGAGAACCTGGAGAAACTGAGAGCCATGACTATATGAATAGATGTTCCTTTCTACTTTTATAATGCAAAATTAAATCAATAAAGGAGAATATTTGTAGATCAGAATTGAAATGAGGTGTCCTTGGTGCTCTCTGAGCTTGATTGCTTTCTTGCAGATGTTTCATTACCCAAACTAGGTAACATCATCAGTGCGCTGATGATGTTACCTAGTTTGGGTAATAAAACATCTACAAGAAAATAACCAAGCTCAAGAGAGCACCAAGGATACCTCAACATTAGATCAAAATCTATATTTGAATTCTCAAAATTACAAAGTCATATGTTCTTCAATTTCAGGAGATGACTAGCATATTATACCTAGGTCTAGTCTGTGGTAAATATGTAAGTTGCTGCCATTCATTTGTTGCAACATCATAAATCCAACCATCACCTGAAAATAAGAGATAAAAAGATTAGTGCTATTGCTTTTATTTAAAAAGGACAAGAAATCATGTAACAAATTGTTTCGTGTTGTAGGTGAATGATTTTCAGCATGACTTAAAAGAGAAGCAGGTCGTAGTTTAGTAGGTTTCTACATTGTTCTTTGACTACAGTACCTTTCTTCCTTTTTCCATCACCTAGCTCACCTCAGTTTTACAAGTAGCTGGGAAGGGTAGCATCACTTATAGTCCTAAAAAAAGCAATCTACTCTCTTTTAAGTGAGCTGAACCTTCATTTCAGAACATGGCAAATGTTTCATGAACATTTGACTTTTCTGCATGGACTATAAGTCGTTCTGTTTAGATTAATTAAGCAGCTCGGTTTATTACCAGTTTGTCCTTTTGTTTGCTGAAAACCAGTCTGAGGAGAACATTAATGGTACTGTTCAAAGTCACACTGCTAATGGACACTAATTATGATCCAGGCACTTATGTGTCTGCCTCACCCTTACTGTGTAGCATTGCAGGGAGCCGCAGTTGTATCATCACCATTTGCAACCTTACCTGGCAGCTTCCCATAAGCCAACTCAATGGAGAAGTTATCAGGGAAGACCGCAAGCCATGTTCAGGTTCTGTGGGCCCTTCCAGACCTCCTCCTGGCTTCCCATGACTTACATACAGCCTGGGCCAACCCTCTTCTGGCCTCCCATACAGCCTGTACCAGCCCTTTCCTGCCTCCCTACAACTCATACTCCCTACCTGGGATTCTACTTCTTCCCACTTAAGGACCTGTACGTCTTCGGACTACAACAATAATTGTGACTGCAATTACAAAGCAATGCAGACTTTGCACTTTATAAGTGCATCCCTTAGTGGTGGCAATCCCAGTCCCAATTGCCACTGTAACTCAAATACCAGCCACAATCTCAACATTTCAGGACAAATGCTACTTACTTAAGGGTACATTGTCTGAACTCAGCCCACCAAATAGGAAAAGTTTCCCATCTGCCACAGGAGTCAACGTGTGCCATGATCTGTCTCTTGGTTTTTCTCCATTTGTAGCAATTCTAAGCAGAAGAGCAATCAAAAGCACAACTGCTTATATAATTCAAACAAACAAATCCCAAATAATTATTGAATATTACACCATGGGTATGTGTGTGTGAGGAGGTATTGCCCAAGGCATCTTATGTCATATAAATTGTTTATTTCATTAACTGCTGAAACTGAGTTTTACAGATTCAAAACAACTAGGATTTAAGGACTCCTCTGAGCCTTCTTCAGTTGACAACTCAACTAAATCAGGAAGCAAGGGGCCATGTTATAATCACCAGTTTCTAATCTGCAATTTACAAGTAACACACACACACAGGTTTCTCTTCATTTATTTATATATTTATTTAGAAAATTTATTTGCCACCCACCTTGTATCCAACTAAATCTATATATGATGGTTAACATTAATTGTCAGCCTAACAATATAATGTATAACTAAAAATAAACTATTTCTCTAAAAATTCTTAGAAGCTTCATCTAAGAAATCCTTGCAGTTTAATAAAATCATGTTTTGTTGACCTATATATTTTCTTCACTTTTAAATTTTACAATTCAAAATTTTAAAAACCTTTATTTTAAATTAAAGCAGTCTACAACAGCGAAAGGATAGATCATAGCAAAATCAGTCCTTGATATTGTGAGGGAGGAACCTTAAATATAAGTGTTTTTGCATTTATATTTAAATTGGTCTTTTCTCCTCTGAAAATTTCATCCACATAATATGCAGAAATCCATCTATAAATTTGAAATAGTAGCAATTATCAAAAAGCAAACCTCAAGAAAATGTTCAAAACTAAATTGTATTTAACTAGAGTATTTACATACAACAGAAAAAATGACATCAAAGAAAAAAACTTACTTTCCTGACCAAACCCAGGTGTCTAAATTCAGAGAATGTAAATCATTCATCCTTGTTTGCTATTTAAAAAATACAACATCCATTTTATTTTAAAATAAAATATAGTATCAATTTCAGTTTACAAATTCCTCATTTAAGAAAATTTACTATCAATTGAGATTATGTATATATGGTTAACAAGAACATGAAGAAAAGAAATAGTATTGTTATGTAACTACCCTCATGCTATTTCCATTCTGTTATGTTCATTTGAATTATGTGATTTGATTTTCAACCAAATCAAATTAAACTATTCTGCACAAAGTATCAAGTGACTATTCACACCAACGCAACTAATCATGACTAGACTAGATGTATGTGTGGTCAAATTCCATTTACAGTATTTTTCAGAACACATAGGTAAAGTATTTTATAATTTCTGGTTTTGGACTGAAAGGTTTCATCTTTCTCTGTTGAAGCCTTACTCCTTCCTTTTCTGGTGCATGATTACTTGCTGCCATTATCCTGAATGAGCAGCAGGAACACTTTTAACCCACTTAGCAGCTGCTGGACACTTCTACATGTAAAAATATTAGGCTAAATGGACAACGTTCTCATTTAATATAGTGAAAATTCTACTTTCCTATTCTTCAAGAAGCCCTTTTAAGTCTTTGATGACTAAATTTTGGAATCAAGCTATAGCCAGAGGAAAAGTGAGATCCTTCTCATAAAAAAATAAGTGGGCACTAAGTACAAACCAAAACCCGTCCTCCAAAAACATAGCCTGTATTTCCTATGACTGCACATGAGTGAGCTGCTCGAGGCTGAGGTGCAATTCCACACTGCAAGCAAGAGAAATAAAAGTAATCAGAATATGCCTACAACAAATATGTTGTGTCACCAATGCACCTGGCTATATCTATACCCAGAGATACAACACTTACTTTAATTTTTGGCTGATACCAAGTTTGAGTACTTGTATCAAAAACATGAACATCATTGTGCCATCCCCAGAATATTTGACCTTCCTAAAAAAAAGTAAAAGACATTAGAAGTTGTAGTAATAATAATTTTAAAAAACACAATAAAAGCACTAATAATAAATCAGCTTCTATTTTTTGCTTGGAATTAAATCTTTTCTTACCCAAAATGCATCATGAACATCAAAACAGTCACTTAGCTCATTTTGTTTCCTACAGCCATAACCACCAAAGTAGATTAACCTGAAATAATTGGAATTAAAATTATTAATTAATTTCTCTGCAATAATCCTAAGAATAGTATAGGTCTGCCCTTTCATTTCCACAAGACTTCTCAAATGTCACCTGTAGTAACCTGTTTATTTGCTTTATATGTATTTCTAACTCTACATAAATAAGAAAGACATCCAAAGTATATTACTCTTCTGTCAGCAATGCACTGTCAATATCAAGACAAAACCTATTCAATATTCAAAACATTTTATCTTTTAAAAAATCCTAAATATTACAGTCTATTGTTATTTATTTATAATGTAAGTGTTATTTGTAGTAGTATATATCACTCTGATAAATGTTATCAAACCATTAAATTACCAGATATTTTTTCATTAGCCATCACTTTCCTCCCCATTTATGAAATCATTTATGGAATTACCTGTCTTTATACACCCAGCAAGCAAGCTTGTCACGTGGGGTAGGAGGCTGACCTTTAAAGTCTGTGATTTGCTTCCATATATAAATTCCATTTTTTGTTCGCAAATTAACATGATAGAGCTTTAAAGGAAATTAAAATATTTTAAATATACAATATTATTCTATAAACATAAATGCTAATGGAAAAAAGATAGTGAATAGAAGAATCAATATTCCATTACTATTTTAAGGAAATGGATTAAATTCTCTTATTTCCAATATTTAAATAAGCTTTTGTGCTAACAATATTCAGACATTTTCTAATTGTGAAATTATGATCTGTTTTTGAAATGATATTCCCTTTCAGGCCAAATTCTAGTAACGAAAATGCTTAGTAGTTTCACTAAAGTGAAACTAGTTGCAAATGTAATGTCCATGGTTTTTTAGAAAAAACTGATATTGGAAACTAAATCTTCCTCACTGCATGAACCTACAGAAACTGGTCTTTCAAGTAATGTTAGTGAAACCAAGATATCCCAAACTAATAAATTCTAATTTGAAGTATGAAGACCTGATAGCCTTAAAGGGCCTTAGAAATGTTTTATGATGCTTCTAAATATTTTTTCTTCCGTTCAGTCATGTCCGATCCTCTTAGATCAGGGGTGTCAAACTGGCGGCCTGAGGGCCGGATGCTTCATGTGCAGGCCATGTCCACACCAGCTTCGCAAAGGGAAAAAACATTGTGAAGCATCCTATGAAGGCAATGTGATGCTGCGAGTTTGATACCCATCTTAGATTGTCTGGACAAGTCTCTAAGGTTTTTCAGAAGTGGTTTGCCATTGCCTGCTTCCTAGGGCTGAAAGAGTGACCAGCCCAAGTTCACCCAGCTGATGTTGTGTCTGATGCCTTAACTACTACACCACTCTGGCTCTCTCCTAAACATATTTGTCAATAAAGTTCCACTGCTATCAAACGGTAGTTCTGTTGATCATCATTCACCTGGAAGTGATATCAAGATGTAATTAATATTGGTAGTACTTACATATAGCATACAAGAATTAACAATGCTAAATATATTCATTCTGTGAGATATGTGATTTTTATTTCCAATACAGCATTTATGTCATATACAAAAAAGATTCTACTGTCCAGTGAAAAATAAACTATGCCATATGAAGTATTCAAGCACCTAGATATCTCAAAATTATTATTTGAGTGCTGATTAGTCTCATAAGCTCTATCTGTGAAAAATCCCAAATTCAGATCTTATTCTTTGCATTTCTTGATCATTATAAATTCTTACCACTATATATTTTTAAGTTTTAATATAGCTGAAACAATGAATCATAAAAACATAAATGTGAAATACAAAAAGGTTAATACATAAAAATGTGGAATAATTATAAATATATAAAAAGATACAGTTCAGTTTTAAATAAATTGAACCATATTTTTCACCATTTAAGAAATTTCTTATTTTGTTGGGAAAGTTTTTAACAATGAAAGGAATCCAGTACCCGATTGCTGTATCCTTTCTCATCAAATCCTCCAAAGATATAGAGCTTCCCATTAATACAAGCTCCACAGCTTCCAGACATAGATGGAGGTAACTCTCCTTTCATTAGATGCATTGACCTGCAATTCAGGCAATACAGAATATACTTTAACTTTGCTCAGAGTATGAGAAACAGATAAAAGAAATAATACTTTAAGTACTTTGAAATAACACTTAATAATTTTGCCGAAAAATGTTATCTACCTCAATCTATGTCATTTTCTTTCAGTCAGTATACATTAGCATTCCCCAACTTGATGCCCACCAGGTATGATCATTACATGTCATTATTTTCAGGCAACATAAGGTATAAGTAAGTTGGGGGGGAATTATATCATCACAATCAGGTAAATACACTAGAAACAATAGCAACATTCTTACTGGTTAATCCAATACTTTCTGACTTATTCCTAAATGAGAACAGAACCTTCTAGTTACAATAGCCTCTGGGAAGGAAAAGAATAATCACTGATATCCATTTCCAAATGCATTAAAATCACATAAAAATTAACAGGACTGTTTTATACAATGTAGGAAATCTAGGATTGGTTTGTCCAGTTAATTAAGTTACCTGAATTTTCACAAAATACTGAACCATAAATTATACTTGCTGTGACCTAGAACTAGCCAGTCATATTTCAATGTATTCTGGTATGGAAATCTACCCTTAAAACTACATTTCTTTTTCAATGCTAAATTAATTAAAAGAACAAGGAAAGAAAAGCTTATTTTGCTAAAATAATAATTTCAACAAATAAAGTTTCTCATATAAAGTATCTTCTGATAAATTAGCAATACAGTAAAATAATGTAACTTACCATAATCCACTGTCAATTTCATAGATCCAAAGTTCATCATTTGGTAAATAAACTTCATTTTCTTCAATAGACTATGCAGAAAAAAACAGTAGTTCTGACATAATTCTTATTTTCAAAAAGCCACCTGAATTTCTGAATACTTTCCACTTCAAATTCTAGCTCTATAATAGATAACTTGGCCTGCTGGAGCATTGTTTTAATAATCATAAAAAACACACATTATTTTCTTTTCATTTACTATCATACATGTATAACTCAGTATACCATTCATTAGCCTTTTGTTGGAAAAGAAATTTCAAGTGGCAAAGTGAAAGCATAAGTGACACTGCAGATCTTATCACATTTTAAAGGTACTTTATATATACCATAATTTATGCTGGCAAGATTTAAATATATGTTGACAGAAAAGTAGTTTATAAAGAATTTGTTGAAAATTATCATAATCAGTGCAAATATTGCCAATATCCCAGCAGAACTAAGACATTTATCCCATAAATATAAAAAGCTTTGCATTTATGACACGGGTTATCATTGGTGGTCCTGTATATTTTGCCATTTCCAGAATACCACAATCCAATAGTGATGGTAATAGATGTCGTTATTCCAAATTAACTCTAATGAAATAATGCTCATGAAATCCGCAAAGGAAATCCTTTACTTTAAATGAATTATAATAATAATAAAGACAATATATTTAGGGGAATAAATAGAGATTGTATTTTCTTTTTCTTGAAGGGCAGGAAAAGTCTGGTGGCTTGATAGTTTGGTCATGAGTAACTTGTACAAATGGGGAAAAACACAACCTAGCCATATTGATCGTCCCCCTTATCTATAAGCTAGTCACATCTGGCTATTAACACTTAAATAACAAATGATAGACCTCAGATCTCCTCCCATCATGCTATATTCTCAATATATGAAAACTAAAAATAACTGAAATTAACTGGACAAGTTTATATTGTCTGCTATCCTAAAACAGGAGACCAAGTCAAGACAGCTCCGACTGACAGTCACAAAGAAAAATGTAATGTCATCAATGATCATAGTATTCATCTACAAATGGGATTGAGATAATTTGAAACTCTCATTTCCTTGGAGATGCACAAATTGTTATCGTCTTGACCAGCCAGCCATTTGGCATAGAAACCAATCAAGTCAATGGAAGCACACAGTACTCACTTGCTTCACTCTTGATACTGATTACATCAGAATGGCTGGGTTCCAATCTAACACTAAACCAAGCCAAGCCAAACCATGACTTTAAACCCACGAGATTATAAACATGGTTAGCCCAAACACAAACTTTTAATGTTTCAGTATACAAGTAGTCCTCGATTTACAACCATTCCTTTAGCAACTGTTCAGTTACAATGGCTCTGAAAAAAAGTGATAACTGGTCCTCAACCATTGCAGCACACCCCCTGGGGGGGGGGGGCACAGCAAAATTTGGGTTGCAGTATCCTGGGATGCATTCTTCCCATCTGGCCTTCCACAAGCAAAATCAATGATTTGCTTAATGACCCTGTGATTCACTTAACAATCTTAGCAAAAGATTGTAAAGTTGGGTGCAACTCGTTTTAACACTTTACTTAAAAATGGAAATTCTGGTCCCAATTGTGGTCTGAACTCGAGGACTATCTGCAAGTGGGAACTCAAGACACCCACAAGAGACATTATTAATAGCTCCTAGGCTTGCAAAAGAAATAGTGCCACACTTTTAAGACAAAAGCGAGTTTATTATAGGAAACCATCTGACACAACATCAGGTTGTCAAGCTTCTAAGACGCCACGATAGATTCTGGCGCTCAAACACATTATTGTAATTCAGCCTCCTGGAGGCGGGAAGAGAGGCGGGCCACCTGCTGTCTCACGAGGCGCCACCGTCCAATCAGATAAACAGCTGAGACAAATACCCAACCTCCCCCCTCCCCATCACGTCCAAAAGCGGCGCGTGCCCTTTTCTTTCCCGCCCATTTCGCTCTTGAAGGAGGAGCGACAGAGAACTTTCTCTTTAAAATAACACGGCGGAGGGGGAGGGGGGGAAGGCAAGATAAAGCAAACTCCTTCTCTCGCCCCTCCCCCCCGTGGTTTCTTCCATTGCGCGGTTTTAATACGAGGCTGCTTTTTTCTTTCTTTCCCACACGTATTTGTCCAACCATTCGGCTTCCCCGCCGACCCTAATTTCCTTACCACATATCCCCCCCACACATAAAGACAATTCCCATCGACCACGGCGCAATGCCCGCTCCGTTCCTCGGCCACGCCGAACTCTTCAGGAGGAGGATCCGCCGCCATTTTAGTGCGGGGTGGATTAGGAGGGAATGAAGCTAATAAGTCCAGCCGCCGTCGCCGTGGCAGTCCCCTCAGCAACCGCGTCTGCAGCCGCCGCCCCCTCGCTTAGAACGCCGGACGAGCGCGGGTGCGTTGCTGACAACGCCCCCTGCCGTTGGCAGAGAAGCGCGCAGGGAGAGCGGAGGCCTCGGCTGGCTGAGTGTTGGGGATTGGAGCAGAGGCACGTTTTCCAATCCTTCGAAGTGCGCAGCTTTCAAATTACGGACTTAGTTTTTTGGATTTGAACAATAGGATGGACAAGAACGAATACATTGTACATCTGCACGATGCATGAGTCCCTATAAGAAAGTAAATCGAAGATATTCCCAGCCAAGCTGTGAGCACTGCCAATGCCTTTGCATTATGTTTTGGTTTGGATAATAAACGTCAGGTGGCTGGTGAATGAAAAATGTACATTTTCAATCACTCGTAAAACTTTCTGTGAACTAATTTTTCCCCTGGCAATCTTCACACCCTCATGGATTATTGTATGATTATGATGGGAGAATTTAAGCATTAGAAGAAATGTAATTGATCCCAAGTAGAACTCTCCCGTGGTACATATTTCTCCTCATCCATACAGTACTTTTGAATTAAAGATGTGCGTAATATAGTCCTGAACATCAGTACCTTGATACATAAACACCAAATAAAAACTGCATTACATATTTAATAAAATTTATACTGTAATCTGCAGCTCTTTTCTCTCTCTGCCTCTTCTTCCAAGAACATCATAGTTCAGCTCCCCCCCCTCCACCACCTGTTGGTGAAGCTTCAAAAACAGCTGACAGGTACTGGGTAAATTGCAGGGAGAAATAGAAGAAACCCTGTATTCAAAAGTACTACCTCAGCACTACTACCTGTCAGCTCCTGTCAGGCTATTTTAAAAGGGGGTTCTTCTGAAAGAGGGACAAACGTATTTAATTAACAAAAAACAGATTAGGACGGAATTGCCGTGGGCGGGGGCAGACCTTTGTCTTCTGCATGCTCCTCCTTTATGTCACTTGTACATCAGATGAAACTCTTTCCTTCAAAGCTTCTTCAGCTCTGACATGACAGTGGGGAAGGAAGAAGCTTCTTGGATGAGAAGCGAAACGTCTTTAAAGAAAAAAAAAAAGAAAAACCAAGAAGGTCGAGTTGCCTCCTGAAAAAAAGCACCTTTGGGAAAAGAAGGGGAAGATTCTGCATTGCCCCATAGTCCTAAAATCCAGCGCCTAGAGTTGGTGCCCTCCAGATACCATCACCAGCCAATAAACTGATTACAATTCACAGGGTTTTTTTGGGGTGGTGGTGGCAATTCTCCGGATAATAAAACCCGTCAATGGTAGCAAGGCTGCCTTTGCTGAACGCCGAGGAACCGCGGCGGTAGAGCTGCCTTAATCACCGGCTTGGCGGGAGTTCTTGGGGCTGGAGCTCAGAGGGAGGAGTCGCGTTGTGGCGCGAACCGTTCAAGATGGCTACGGAGAAGCTGAGAAGTAAAGTGGGCGCTGCTTTCAAAATGCACGGCTTGGTCCTCCGCGCGTGAGTAGTAAAAAAAAAATCCCTAAAAATCTTTAATCTGAACACTCTGAATGGCTATTTCTGCGTAAGGAAACTATAAACAAAACACGATGGCTAAACCAAAATCAAACTGCTCGATTAATGTGTTGACTGAACCAGGCTCACCTGATAAACCATCTTTCGCTTTGCTGCTTCTTTGACCACTGTGGCTTGTTAATCTTGGTTTACAGTATAACGTGTGCTAATGCAAACTATAACTTCTCAAACGTAATAATTAAACTTGTATGTTGCCTGACTCCCAACAATCAAATTAAAATTTTTAAAATAAAATAGAAACTGACAAGCGCAACAGACCAGGTGGATTGAAAACGTGTTTAGAAGGAACTATTTTTAGTTAAAGGAATACAGCAATCACATTATATATAAGTACATATTGTTTCCCAAACTGGATAACTTTCAGATGTATGTGCTTTACCAGAATTCCCTATCCACTTAAAGCCATGTTTTGAGAAACACTCACAGGTACAATAGGTTTATTTGCACTTAATAGACTTATTCTAAGTTAATTGATTTGATTGCCTCTTTCAAGATGTTGCTGAGCATAAGTTCCTTTTTTCATACCTTTTCATACCTTCATACTTTTTCATACCTCATGCTGCATGTTTAATAAAAAAATAAGCCACTTAATAGTGGATAGGAACTTCTTAAATACAATATAGGATAGCATAGTGGATTTAGCCAAGCACATATATTAAGTTTGTTGTGTGATCTTTGACATTGGAGCCACTGACTTAATCAATAGTTCAGTAAAAAATTGGTAAGCATGTTTTGTAAGAATTTGGTAATAAAAATATCTAGAAGTACAAGATTTAATTTTCCAAATATATCTTACCTTGTTTGCCATAGTAAAGTTTGGTTATATGCACATAACATATTTACCCAGAGTTAATTTAACTGGTTCACAAAGACCAGTTGCCCAGACTAACATGACACATTGACTATAATGTAACCCATTTTACCTAATGCCTCGTGTCAACTTAAATTATGACGGCAACTAGTGTTTAGCATGGTATACAAATAAGGTAGTCCTCCACTTACAACAGTTCATTTAGTTTCTTCAAAGTTACAACAGCACTGAAAAAAGTGACAAGTGACTTATTTTTTTGAAGACCATTGCAGTATCCCTGTGGTCACATGATCAAATGCAGATGCTTAGCAACTGATTCATATTTATGATGGTTGTATATCACAGGGTCACGTGTTTATCTTTTGCAACCTGACAAGCAAAGTCAATGGGGAAGCCAGATTCATTTAACAATCATTACTAACTTAACAGCTGAAATGATTCACTTAACTGTGGAAGAAAAATTATAAAATGGGGTAAAACTCAACTGTCTTACTAAGCAACTTAATTTTGGGGCTCAATTGTGGTTGTAAGTTGAGGACTATGTACAATATCTGTACGTTAAACCATGGGTCCCCAACCCCTGTCTATGGACCAGTACTGGGCACGACACCAGAAACTGAGATGTGCAAACAAGCGAAGCCCCATCTGCAGATTGCAAATAGCACACAAAATCAAGCCCCCTCCAGTCCTCAGTAAAACCTCTCATCATGGGATCGGTCACTGGTACCTAAAAGATTGGGGGCTGCTGGGTTAAACTACAATCTTTGTTAACATTGGCAGTAAAGTTCATAGTGACTGTTGTTTGGAGCTGTGATGGGAATTGTAACAAAAAAAGTGCAGAACACAAATGGAGAAAAAGAAAACACAAATATGCTGTTATTGATATTGAGTTTTGAATATAGTAACTACTTTTCAGTTCTTACATTTTATAAAGCTTCAAGACAGACCTCAGTCAGTAAACCAAATATATACCTGCACTTTAGAAAATGTCGCTTCAAAAACTAAATGTTTCATATCATAAGTGCCTGTGAGTTAGATATTGTAGCCTTGTAGGTAAATGATATCTCCTTAACTCAAAGAAGTTTATACTTTCTGCGTGAAAGCCAATAATTCATAATAATTGTACATGAGAACTGCCATACATTAAGAAAATGTCTACAACATAGAACTAAATCCTGTTGGATACAAATATTTATATATGTGCAGAGCATTGTATGGAATGAATTTCTTTGTAAGCCAGTTTGGTGTAGCAGTTAAGACACCGTGCTAGAAGAAAGCAGAGACTGTGAGTTCTAGTCTCACCTTAGCCACAAAAGCCAACTAAGTGACCTTGGGCCAGTTACTCTCTCAGCCCAGCTCACCTCAGAGGGTTGTTATTGGGAGGAAAATAGGAGAAATGTATGATGGATATATTTGCCACCTGAGTTATCGATAAAAATAATAAAGGTGGGGATACAAATAAACACAGGTCTGAAATCAGAAAGCATTGGACAGCTCTTATCTAAGCAATGATATTAACTGACAAATAATTGCTCCCATATTTATATTTGAGACATTGAAACAGCTTCTTTAGGTCATTAGCCATTCTCTAAACTTCAGCTACTATCAAAGCTTTGTGCAAATGGAAAGTCATGATTAGTATTCCATGTGAATTGATCTGACCACTGCAGCATTTTATCCATATTTACTGTAAATATTAAGCTGTAACTATCTAGGAAAGACACCAAGTTTATCTGAATGGCTAGAAAAATACTCCAGATGATTGATCCAGCAAATTTCATATTAATGTTTTACTTTTTGATAAAGTGTATATCAGATGTTTTGGGGGATTTAATCTGAATATTTGTTACTAATAATCAGGGAGGCTACAAAGTATCTCACAGAAGCTCTTCAAGCAACTAATGAAGTGGAACTAGAAGACATGATAGAAAATATAATTGATGCTGTTGAAAAACAATCTTGTAAGTAAATTTTCAGTTTTCTTAATGTATGAAAAATAATAATTCTCTTAACTGTAGAATTGGTGTTCATCATAATGTGTGGTATGTATCACAACGAAAGCTGCTGGCCTGTCTGTCCTACATAGGGGCTCTTACAGTCTTTATACTATATATTGCAGATGACTCCTAGTTTTTTCTCCCTTTGAACTTTTGCATCTTTTGGTTTATTTAAGATGTTTTGGAAGATTTTATATGGTTTGTGTGCATCCCTGAGCACCAATGAACAATCAGAAAATATGATGAAAATTCCTTAATCTCACAATTCAATCACAATGTCAACTGAGAAACTGAACATTCTAGTCCAAGCCAAATCCAGAAATGTTAGGGATTTCCTGGAAGCTTGGCATGAAAAACAATTCAGTCATCAATAGGCACAGAGAAATAAGCTATACTTACATAACATTCAAAAGAGACAATAAAAACTCTAAGAAGGAAACAAAAAGACCAGGACACATCCTCTCCAGCAGTCAGATAAATCAAGGACAAGGCAACCAGACAAACAATCCAGCAGAATACAATTTTATTTTATTTACTTATTAAATTTATATGCTGCCCATCGCTTAGAGGCTCATAATCATAAAAACACAAAACTTTAAAACAAGTATTAGAACTAACATTTTAAAATTGACAAGACAGGAAGGAAGGAAGCA